AAAATGTCCCCTGACCTGTGTTACTGGAGGACAGCAGAGATGGCAACTGCTTCAACTGCAGAGATGAAACAGGGCGTTCTTTTAGTCCCTTAAATAGGTCTTGCTTCTCCCTGCTCAGGGCCTCCCTCACCAGTCCTCCCCACTTGGACTGCCCCCTAACTTAAACTGCCTCTCTCACCTACACAATCACTCTTTTTTTTTTTTTTAACCTTTATTTATTTGAGAGAGAGCAAGCAGGGGGAGGGGCAGAGTGAGAGAGGGAGAGAGAGAGCATCTCCAGCAGACAGAGCCCAACATGGGGCTTGATACCATAACCCTGGGATCAGAACCCGAGTCGAAATCAAGAGTCCGATGTTTAACCGACTGAGCCACCCAGGCGTCCCTATGCAACCACTCATCTTATCCCTTCAGGGAACAGCTAACATCATTCTTGAAAGAAGCCTCCTAATTCTCCAGACTAGAAAAAGCTCTCCCTTTAAAAAGGGATCGTTGAAGTTCTTCTACTTCTAGAAGTAGAAGAACTACTTCTTCCTGGGACTTAACACTAATATATTTATTTCAGTTTCTCATTTAAAAGATGTCTTTCCTGGGATGCCTGGGTGGCTCACTTGGTTAAGCGTCTGCCTTCGGCTCAGGTCATGATCTCAGGGTCCTGGGATCGAGCCCCGTGTTGGGCTCTCTGCTCGGCAGGGGGCCTGCTTCTCCTTTTCCCCGCCCCCAGCTTGTGCTTTCTCTCACTATATCTGTCTCTCTCTCAAATAAATAAATAAAATCTTAAAAAAGGGGGGGGAGGGGAGAACAAAAGAAAGAAAAAAAACCAAACCCATGTCTTTCCTGCTAGACTGTAACTGCCGGGAGGGCAGTGGGTGTATTATTCACTTGTGTCCCCTTAGCATGTCCAGTTCTAGGTACATCGTGAGCACTGTTACTTGTTAACTTAGTACAAGCTGGAAGACATAAAAATATTTCTAAGATTAAGACAGCAAAATAGAACAAAGAGTGAAGGGGAGCAGAAACGGACCAAATTAAAAAGAAAAGAGATGACCATGTGGGAACCCAAATGTGCTAGTTAACACAGGAGGCTAAGGGGGAAAAAAAGGAAGAACTGGCCTGTATGAAAAAGACTTAGAAAATAAATCCAAAAATCAAGATGCAACTTGTTTAAAACAGCTTTTACACCTGAGCCTGAGGTGTTCAATCCACTAACCAAGTGGAAGGAAGCCATCATTCAGATTGGAGAAGCTCAGGATGCTGCACAAAGATATAAAGGTTCAGCTTACACATTCAAGAGAATGCCAGGACTACTTAGGCTCTTACACACTGTGTTTCTCCTGAACATAATTAATTTTTTTCAGTATACCCATTAAAGTGAATTCTCAGAAAAAGAAATATATTCAAATAAATGTCAACTTTTTGTGTGAATTTCAGACAGATACATACAAGAAGGTTTAGCTTTATCAATGACTAAAATTTTAAAGTAAATAATTCAACTCTGAATTCTCTCTCCCACCAGTTAGAACAACAGTCCCATTGTCTTGGGATGGCCTTTAGGAGAGCTTGTGCCTCTACCAGAAATCACATCACCTTTCTAGGTAAGACCATTTAGCCCCATCTCCCAGAAAAGAGTTTTCATCATTTGAGAATCACAGCGAATGAGCCTCAATCCAGCAAAGCAAAGATTCCTACGGAGAATGTGCACATGATGTCACATGGGATTCAAGAATAATTTTTTGGGGGGTGCCTGAGTGGCTCAGTCGGTTAAGTGGCTGCCTTCAGCTCAGGTCATGATCCCAGGGTCCTGAGATTGAGCCCCACATTGGGTTCCCTGCTCAGCGGGGAGCCTGCTTCTCCCTCTCCCTCTGCCTGCCACTCTGCCTACTTGTGTGCTCTCTCTCTCTTTCTATGTAAAATAAATAAATAAATAAAATCTTTTTTTTTATTTAAAAAGAATAATTCTTTTTAACTGATGAATGTGAAATTTTTCTGCTTTTTCTTTGCATCTTCTGGGAAGGAGTAAAATTAAGAGCAGGTATAACTAAAGGAGAAGAAATATAATTTTCTATTTCTGATAATCAAGATAGATGTCCAAAAAAAATTAAAAGAGGTACATTTAAAGAAGAGACTTTTGGGACATCTGGGTGGTTCAGTTGGTTGGGCGTCTGACTCTTGATTTTGGCTCAGGTTATGATCTCAGAGTTCTGAGATCAAGCACCCTGTCCGGCTTCAAGCTCAGTGGGGAGTCTGCTTGAGATTCTCTCTTTCCCCCTCTCCCTTTGCCCCTTTCCCACATGTGTGCATGCTGTCTCTCTCTCTCTCTTAAATAAATAAATAAATAAATAGACTTTTAAGTGACAAAAAACTTTGAAATAAACTTTTTTTGTTAATAATTTAATGCTTAGGAGGCGCCTGGGTGGCTCAGTCGTTAAGGGCCTGCCTTCCGCTCGGGTCATGATCCCAGGGTCCTGGGATTGAGTCCCACATCGGGCTCCCTCCTCCGCAGGAAGCCTGCTCTCCCTCTCCCACTCCCGCTGCTTGTGTTCCTGCTCTTGCTATCTCTGTCTCTGCCAAATAAATAAATAAAATCTTTAAAAAAAAATAATCTAATGCTTATAGTGCAGGTGCAGGCTCATGGAGAAAGAGAGAAAAAGGAAGAAAGGAGATGGATTGGCATTTTCCTCCTAGAGTGTTATGTTTTCTGCCAATAGAATTGGTGTTGTCTTTAAACAACTCAGCTTAGTTCAAATTAGCAAAGTAGAAAGGTACAGCCTGCTCCATAATTTAATCATCAGAGATACACACTGTTGATTCTTTGGTATATAACATTTCGTACCTTCTGCATGAAATATGACTACATAATATACAGGCTGTTCATTATTTACAACAGCCAAAAAGTGGGAACAACCCAAATGTCCATCATCTGATGAATGAATAAATTGTGGTGCATCCATATAATGGAATATTATTCAGCAATAAAAAGAAATGAAGCACTGACACATGCCACAACATGGGTGACCCTTGTAACGTTATGCTGAGTGAAAGAAGGCAGCTACGAGACACCATGGACTGTTTGATTCCATCCATATGTAATGTCCAGAATAGGCAAATCCATAAAGACAGAAAGTGGATCCATGGTAGCTTAGGGCTGGTGGGTAGAACAAGAATGCCAATGCCTATCAAGGTATCTTTTAGGGGGAATAAGAATGTTCTAAAATTAGATTGTGGTGGGGCATCTGGGTGGCTCAGTTGGTTAAGCGACTGCCTTCGGCTCAGGTCATGATCCTGGAGTCCCTGGATCGAGTCCCACATCGGGCTCCCTGCTCAGCGGGGGGTCTGCTTCTCCCTCTGCCCCTCCCCCCGCTCATGTGCTCTCTCTCATTCTCTCTCTCTCAAATAAATAAATAAA